TTGTAGTGAAGACCTTACGAGCTGTGGCAGAGAAGCTTTTGCTTCTTTTTTATATTCTCTTTATCTTTTGATTTCTTTGGTTCAAGTGCAAAGCATATGTGCATTTTTATTACAAGAGGAGGGTGTGTGAATCTTTTTGTGTGTGTGTTTTGCTTGTTTAATTTGTAGTTTTATACTTTGCTTGGAAACATTGTCAGGAATGTTCATGTCTTGTGTTTTGGGCAAGACTACGTCTTGTAATTTACTACTTAATTACCTTCACATAATCTCATTTGGGGTTGCTAATCTTGGGAAATAATTTGAACCCAAAATTCTATTTCCTCCCTCATTCTCTTTATTCTCAATATTAAGAGAAAAAATCCCATCTCAGAGATTAAGTAAAAGTAGAAATATATGTGCTTGATTTGATTATTAAAAAAGTCCTGTGGAAGCCAACTTCAACGACACCACTTGCTTAATTGTATAATTCACATGTCATCGTGTTACTTGTGTGGCTGCTCTTCATATCAAGGAGGGAGGAACTCAAAGGCTAATTTGCCAATTCCATCTCCAGTTCTTAATTTTCATTATTATTAGTTTGCTTGATGATGCCCCCATATTCGTTCTAGCCTTTTTTAAGAGAGACTTCTCTTGCGCCACTCAGGTGGCACCTGGAGAGGATGTGCAAGCAGCCATGGCCGCCGCCGGCAAATGTATAAATGAACAATTCTTCTAAAAAATAAAGCCCAAATTATACAATAGATAATTCAACTATTCAGGGCATAGTATATTTTTTTCTGTTTCATAAAATAAAACTCAATAAGAAAATTCAAAACCAAGTAAAATTTAATAAAATAGTGATAACTAGTCTTTAAAACATTATAACAATTAAAAATTTGTGCTTTTATATTGAGTTCTGAAAGAAAATTATCCTAACATGGTCTATCATTTATATACTTTAAAACAAAATAGTGAGAACCATGCAAAGAAATAAAGATAGATTAAAAAAAAAGGAAGAAAAATTATTTTGATAAACAAGAAGCTTTTATCTTTGATATGGGCAAATTTTAATTTTATAAAAAATTGGGATTAAATGTAGGGAAGACAGTAAAAATATGCAAGAACGAATAAAACGGGAACTGTCTGTGAGATGGCACCACCACAACCACCATGATCGCCGCCACCTCCACCACCACCAACTCCAAGCTATAATTATTACTGAATTTTAATAACATAAAACGAAAAAATAACTAATCCAAAAAACAGAAACTAAAAACATCAAATTATCCCTTCTTTTTCCCTTGGACTCGGCTTCGCTGGGCCCTTCTTCTCCACCTTCCTTCCTGTGCTGTTTCCTTTCTCGGGGTCCAGCCTTTTAAATGTTGTTTTTGATTCAGGGAAAAGGATAGAATTTTGGGTTTTTGGTTTCTCCAAACCTTGCTGCTTGTTTGATATTTTTCCTTTTTTGGCTGTTTTATTGTGTTCTGCTTTTATTTTTCCTGGCGGGTAAATGTGGGGGAACGGCGGAGAACCTGCGGATTCTTATTATGAGGTCCGGCCAGAGTGCACGAATGTCCCGAAGTCCAAATTCAAAATAAAGGTCTGTTCTTGTAGATTCGTCTCTGCAACAGAATCAGAATGTCTGCTTCATAGTTCGTTTGATGTATATCTTATTGCTCTGGATTGAATTTAGCTGATTTGAATGATACCCCAATATGGATTTCTTCAATTAGTTTTAAATATGTTAATTTGGTGGTACTAGAGCTTCTGAGAGAAAGTTAAGGATTCAGAATATGTCTAGGTTATTTAGATTGGAGAAAGAAAGATAGTGTTTTAGTTTCTATGCTAATGATTTGGGGTTAAAATATGATTTCTTAATTCTTTGTCATTGCCAAATCCTTGAGAATAAAAAAAGGAAACTTTTTGGTCTGGCAAAATGTAATTCTCACGCAAATTACAGTTTCTTTGGGAAGTCAGTGCTCCTTCAATCAACTTTCAAGCTTCCAGTTACGTTCAGTTTCCAAACAAGTAAAACTGTTCTTGTTTTGATCTGTCTAAGCAGCCTGGTAAAACTCTGAGCGCAAGAAGATGGCAGGCTGCGTTTTCTCCTGTAGGGCATCTGGATATAGGCAAAACTTTACATCGAATTCAACGTGGGGTAAGCAAGCTCATCCTCTTGCTCAAAAGTGTTGAACCCCTTTCCTTTGTATATACTTGTTAACATATTTGTCAATCTCTTGACCTCTTTATTTTTCCAATTAGGGGATTCATCCATCAATAAGAGGAGAAGTTTGGGAATTTCTACTAGGTTGTTATGAACCCAAAAGTACATTGGAGGAAAGGGAAGAGATCAGGGAACTACGAAGGTAGTCAATTCTTCTAGTACCTAACTTGACTTGTTACCAAACAAACAGTTGGAACATTTATCTTTCTTACTGTTGATAACTAGTATGCCTATTCCATGCTTGTAACTATTTTCTTCTAACAAATTGGAATAAGGTGGAAAATAGTCACTAACCACCTCTTCCTAGGTTGTAGTTATTCCTGCCTCATTCTCACTTTATTAGAGGAAAATATGTGCAGGCATGGAATATCCATTCCTTATTTGTCAGACCATTAGTTTACCTTTATTTTCGTGTAAAATCATGTGAAAACCATTCCATTGAACCAAACACCTCTAATAGATTAAATCTTTACTTCATGTCTACACCTTATTCGTTTGGAGGATATCATTAGCTGGATGTTGTTGCATGTTTAGCTCAGGGTGCAATATGCTAGATGGAAGGATGTGTGTCGTGAAATATTTCCTGTTGTAGGAAGTGGTAAATTTATCACAGCACCTGTAGTCACTGAAGATGGCCAGCCCATCAAGGACCCTTTAGTACTGTTGGAAACAAATACAGGTAAGAAACTAGCACTTTACATCCTCAGCATACCTTTTATTGAGAAACTGGAAGTGGAAATAAAGCAGATTTATGAAATGTGATTGGTTTGTTCAGGCACAAATGCTGCAAACATGCCTGATAGTTCACAAATGGTGAAGGAACTTTTTAGTCGTGGTCCTTTGGACAAAAAAGTGATCCAGTGGCTGCATCAACTGCATCAAATAGGTTTGTTGTATTTTTTAGCTTTTGATGCACGCCTTTCATGTTTAGATTTTGAAATTCACTCTTATTTTTCTCTAGGCCCTCTTTTACCAGACATATCAAACTTTTATTTTAGTCTCTAGTGATGGATATTGACTGTTAATTGATGGTTGAAGTTTCATTTTATCATTTATTCTAGTTTTTATTTAGATTATTTATTTGACTTGTTTTCCTATTTTAAAGTGTTAAGTTGTGAAAGATGACATTTAATTTGTGGGAGGTCTGAAAAGGGAAATTATGTTGCATAAAATGCAACACTGTCTATTACAAAATGAAGCTTAATGATAGATCCTTATTGTTTTCACATATTACTTACAACTTAAACTGGTTGATTTTTCTTTTTGTTTGCACAATTTAAAAATCTTCATTTTGCTTTCTTAAAATGCAGTAGCTGCATATTCACTATTCTGTTATGGCCGTAAGGGTTACCATGTTATCATCAAAATCATTTTGGTGAAATCACTTCAAGACTTTATGAAGCATGGAATTTTACCGTCTGCTTTAATACATAGGCCTCAGACATTAGCTCTTGTTTGGTTATGGGCAAACCAGAAGTAAAAAGATTATTCTCTGTTCTTATTCTTCCTCTTGAATTCTTAAGGTTCTAGTTCTTGTTTGTGGGATTTTTGATTTTTCTCTATATGAAGTACTACTGTACACGTACAGGCAAATGTGTGTACACATAGTAACTATTATTCAATGCTTCTTGTATTAAGTTCTGACAGATGCATGTTCAACTCTTTGTGTTACTGTCAGGTCTCGATGTGGTTCGCACTGATAGGTCTTTGGTATTCTATGAGAAGCAGGAGAACTTGTCAAAACTTTGGGACATTCTTACTGTTTATGCCTGGATAGATAAAGATGTTGGCTACTGTCAGGGTAAGTCACTAAACAAAAATTTCTTTATTTGGAAGCCTCTCTAAAATGATCTCTTAAATCATTTACATCTATTCATATATTTCTATAATTAGAATTAACACCACACATTAACATTTTTCATTCCCTGCCTTCTACTCAATTGATCACCTTTAATTGGTATCCATCTTTCCCATCCATCATTCTCTTCAGCATGGCATTACTGCAAATACTTCTCTAACATAACCCTCTCCTGCTAGTCACACTCTAGACATTCTTTATGGTAGTTAGTGCTAGTCTACCCTGTTGAATAAATGAATACTAAATATAAAGGGAAGAATGTTCATCAATTTTAGAGTTTTGTTCTACAATATGAACAGTTAACAGATTATAGGTGGTCTATATTTGTAGCTGAGTGTAATGTATGAGGCACCCTTCCCTTCCATGTAAGATAAAAGGAAAATATAATATAGTTACAATGAAATTCTGATTCTTTCTTCTTTCCCACGACTATTTTGAGCAGGAATGAGTGATCTTTGCTCCCCGATGATTATTCTCCTTGAAGATGAAGCTGATGCATTTTGGTGCTTTGAACGTCTGATGCGAAGATTGGTACTTCTTTTTCCTTTTCTTCTTGCAGATTATGTTATGTAGCATGTTTTATAACCTTGCATAATTACTTAGCTTCGTCCTCATCTAAAATCAAACTCCATGCGGATTAAATGCTCTGTATGACATATTAGTTTGTTACACTCATGTGCTGGAAGCCAGCTAGATGCATGTGTCTTTTTAAGTCTTGCTATCTATATCTATATTTGTTTTATTTCTCTTTTCTTTGTAATCTTGCTGCTTTGTTAATTTTTTGAAAGTAATGCATAATGCACATTCCAATATTATTGATTTATTCCTTCAATTTCTTTTTCTTTTTCAATTTGACATTTTCTGCTTAATCACCATTCTTAAAGAGAGGAAACTTCAGATGCATTGATAGTAGCTCGGTTGGGCTGGAGACACAACTAAATAATTTGGCTGCAGTCACTCAAGTTGTTGATCCAAAACTTCATCAGCACTTAGGTATTCCCTGGATTGATAGTAGTTCAGTTGGGGTGCCTTGTGCCAGTTTTGTGTAGTTTATCCTTTCCCAAATCATCTACTTAAAAGAAGTTTGTCTTTCATTTGGCCTGCAGAGACACTTGGTGGAGGTGACTATCTATTTGCTGTTAGAATGCTAATGGTTTTGTTTCGTCGAGAATTCTCATTTTGTGATTCCTTGTATCTCTGGGAGGTATGGTTCAACTAATCCAATGCCTTATTTTCTTTATGAAATTAATTTAAGGAATTTTGCATATTTCTAAAATAACAT